GGTTCGATCCCCGGCTGCTCCCCGGCCACCAGAGGAGGGTCCCACATGGTGCGCAGACCTCTCCTGCCGCCCGCTGCTCCTCTCAGCAGTGTACTTTGGTCCTTCTGCCTGCTCTGCTCCCCGCTCTGGCTCTGGTGAATTCTCTCACCCTCCCGCGCTTCTAACTGTACCCAATGCTTATATAAATAAATAAATAAATCTTTAAAAAAAAAAAGAATGAATAGTGCAGTTGGAAAGTGGGTGAAGGATGTGATATAGTGCAGTTGGAAAGTAGGTGAAAGATGTGATATATATAACTCATGTAAGGAGAAATAAATGTTAGTAAATGTGAGAAAGGAAACCAATCTTGGGAATCAAATAGGTGCATATTAAAATTAAATACTATTTTTTTTCATTTGCTATCAGATTAGCAAATGTGTGTATGTGCATTGTTTTTGTGAATGATGCAGGTGGAGAAGGGTGGCGAGAGATTTCATACACTTCCAAGAGTGGAAGATACAACCTTTCTGACAAGCAGTTTGGCAATGTCTTAGAGTCCTTATTCCTTTCTCTTGGTGATTCCACTTCAAGGAATTTTTCCCAAGGAAACAGTCCATAGTCAAGAGGTTTCTATGCAAGGATGTTCATCACGATGTTATTTACAAAGAAGAAAATTTGGAAGTGATTCAAACATGCAGTAATAGGGAGTGAGTCATTTAAATGTTAAGAGTGGGACCAGGTCCTCAGGAACATTAGCTTCCTAGTTTCCTCATGATGCTTAGTCACAAGGGAACTTCTTGATCTAAGGTTAAATGAAGAAGCTAGGAAGATGGTGGGCCAGAGCTGGAACTCCAGACCCATGGGATAAAACCAGTGGCTACAGTGAAGACAGGTAAGGAACAATCAGGATGTGTTGGTAATAGACCATCTTCATTTAATTTTAATTGAGCAGGTACTGAGTACAGGCATTGCCCAGTGAATTTTAATTGAGCTGGTACTGAGTACAAGGCATTGTCATTTAGGCTTGGTTTAGAGAAAGAAGTTTAGGTGCATTCGACTGAAGGAAGGGATGTCACTCACGGTACTAGACTGAGGACCCTTGTGCCCAAGGGTCCTCCTCAATCCCACAGTCAGACTTTGCTCTGCCTCTATCCTGGCCCCACCTCTAGGTCTCAATGTGCTTGAGGGATTGGAGTTCAAAACCCAAAAAAAAATTGAGAATAAAAAACTTTTTAGAAGAGAGGCTGCATTCTACCAAAAAACAAGTCTACATATTATTTTGTGAGTACTTAGGAAAAAGATTGTAAGGAAGCATACCAAGATGTTTCTGATTAGCTCTCTAAGAATTATGGGAGATTTAATATTTTTCTGTGTTTTTTCCTTATAATTAGCATGGAATACATTTTTTAAAAAGCGTTAATGAGATACAATTGACATATAATCTGCACACATTTAATCTGCACAACTTGATAAGATTTGACATGTGTATGTACAAATATAACCAACACTGCTATCATGATAATAAACATATCCGTTACTTGCAAACGTTCCTTTATGTTCTTTGTAATTTCTTCCCTTCACCTCTCCCCTCCCCATGTTCCTTGCAGGGAGCCACTGATCTACTCTCTGTCATTGTCATTCAGTTAATGTTCCCTAGAATCTTACATGAATGGAATCATATAGTATGTTCTCTCTTTGGTATCTTCCTGTCATTATTTTGTGATTCATCCATGCAGTTTGTATACCAATATCTATTCCTTTTTATTTGAGTAGTATTCCATTGTGTGGCTATAACAGTTTAAATAAATGCAATGAATTACTTTTATAATGAAGACAATTCCTGTTTGTCTAAATATATTCTGAGATTGGACAGTGTGATAGGAATTTGCATTCCTCTTGTCTGCCCCTCCCATCCTGGTTGACTCCCCTACCCCCCAGTATCTGTTTGTCTTAAGTCCCTCTGTGCCAGTTCCTTCATCAAAACCACCTACACTGGCAGAGACTCAAAAATGATCAGGAAGCTGATGCTTGGGTCCCTGGACCTTCTTCTCTGTACTGCTCCCCTGTACCTACTGGGCAGCTTCCAAACACCAAGAACCTGTTCTGGGAGCAGGTTCAGGGGCTGAGATCCAGCTTACCCTTCCTTTCTCTCGGTGGCTTAGATTCCAGGGATGTGGTTATCAAAAATGGAACCAGAAGGAAGGGAGGCTGGTTATGCAGGGCCCCCTCTTCACCCCACTCTCTGTTTGAATAGACAATAAATGTCTGTTGGTGGGAGGGTCTAGGTCTCATGCCCTGGCGAACAGTTGCCTTTGTGAACTTGGGAACTGCTTCCCGGGAGGCAGGGCTCCTCTCCTCCCCAAGGACTCCTAGTTTTCAAAAAGTCTCCTTCGAAGAGGATGCAAACAAACAGTAGATCCTCCTGGACTGTGTCCAGCCTGTGTAATCTTAGAGCCACTGTAGGCGGCAGCGACAGGATCCAGCTTCTGTAACCAGAGGCCTGGTGGGGGTGATCCCAGAGCAGCGCACCATGGTTTCTCCTTCTCGGGGAGCTCCCTCAGGCTCAGTATACCCACACTGTGCTGCTTTGGCATCCACAGCCCTGTTCCATTTGATGGTACCCCCTTGGCCACCAGCGCACGGGAGCTCGGCTCAGGGAGAGACTGGGGGAGCCTGGGAGCCAGTGGGTAGAGGTGGAGCCCTGGGAAGCTAACCCTGGTGGACAGGGTGATGTTGTTGGCATCGGAGGGGGGGAGGACCCTGCTGATTTCTCAGTGGGTTCTTCCTGTGTCTGATGTGCCTGGGTAGCTGTGCGCTATGTGTGTTTGTACCCAGTGGTGTCCACTTGTATATGGGTGTGATGCCGTGGAGGAGAAGCTTCCCCCTGAAAACCTGGCTCCAGTACTGCAGGCCTGGGGTGGAGGGTCAGAGTCCACCTTGAGTAAATGTTCACGCTACTGTTTGAACTGGGTGGGTTGCTGTGTGGTGCTGGGAGGCTGGAAGAGACTAACTTCCAAAATAGAGGGAACATTACAGGAATTTCAGGAACAAGGTCCCCTGAGCTCTGTGGCTCATGCCTCCTACCCGGCATGTTCCTTCACTTTCCTTCCTGACTGCTGACCTCAAGTGGGGTACATGGCCAGCCCCACAGTGGTCAAGTAGGTCACAGTGAATGTTGACATGATAATAAAAGCCTGCAATACAGAGACAATGAACACAGCACATATCATACTCCGCTCTTGTCCAGGAGGAGACTGGGAGAGCAGTTTAGTAACTTTCCCTGCTTTTATACTACTTCTGAACGGTGGGATTTTATACTACTTCTAAAACAGTGGGCTTGGTGGTTGGCCCCAACTTGTTTAGCTCTAAACTGCGTATTTTCTCTGTAATGTCCTGCCGGGTCACTGCCGGATCACTAGCCGCAGCCCAGGTGCCAGGCCAAGGGCGTCCACATAGCTTAGCATGTTTAATCCTTAGAACAGCCCTGCCAGGTAGGGGTTGGTCTGATTCTTTTGATTATTGTGAGGCTCAGAGCGTGTAAGTAATTTGCCCAACCACACCTATTGGTTAGGGTCTTCCTGCTCCTGAAAACTCTCCTTTCCGTGATTCCTTGGTGCCAATTCTGCCCTTTGATGGAAGTCTGGCCCTTAGTTGCTGAGGTCTTAATGTCGGGCCCTCCACAGTCTGACCTGTGATCTTTCTTGTGTCACCACCTCTGATACCTTCCCCTCCCCTCACTGCCCGCAGCTTCCAGCTTCATTATTCCCTGTTCTCCAAACATCCCACATGCTCCGCGCCTCAAGCCTGTGTTCTCACTGCCCACAGCGTTGCTCCCACCAGCAGGCAACCCACTGGTCACTCCTTCGTCCCCTTACCTCCTGGGCAGAAGTAACTCATCACTTCCCCTCTAGTACTCAGTATGTGCCTCCATTCCAAGTAGATTCCAGAAATGTCTGCCTCCCCCACAAAGTGAGGGTTCTTGAGGGTGGAGGCTGTATTTAAGGTCCTGTGGACATGCAGAAGAATAACACATAATAGGTGTTCAGTAAATGGCTTTTCAATTAGGATGAATTGAACTTTTAGATGCAAATATTCTCCCTTTTTTCCTGATGTAATGCTTTTTATGTCTGAGAACTTTGGCGATAGAGTAAGAATTTTCCACATGGCAAAATGGGACTTTCTGGTAAAGAGTAATACAGGTTTGATTTTTAAGCCCAGATTTTAATTCCATGGTTGTGTACTGTTCAGTATGACTGAATGTCTCAGGAGATTCATGGAGTTGAAGATTTGGACACATCTCCTACCACAGTGACTTGGTTGAGGTGGTCAGAGCCTCAGATCTGCCTAAGTGCCCTTTGCTGAGCCTGAGGACCCCCGGCCCCTGTTCCTGAGTGCCTCAGCGTGAGTCAGAACATGTGCAGCGTGGGCTTGTGCGGGTGGCAGTGAGCCCAGAATTAGCTCAGCTGTGTTTCAGCACGGCTGCAGCAGGGAGAGGGAGGCTGTGCCAGGCAGGGGCCCGAGAGGCAGGCAGCCCTGAGTCTGAGTGGGGGGTCAGCTCTCAGGCACCATCACAGGTCTCAGGGTGTGAGGGTGAACCTGCTTCCTGCCTGGCACATGCCTGATTGTCACTGAGAGAGAGTCATAGGAGCAGGCCCTTTGGAGCCACAAAAGGCTCCATAATCCGCTAGCATGCCTACGACGAATGTGAGAACCAGATGGTGATGGCTGGGTCATCCCAAGGAATGAGTGGCAGGCAGATGTAGGCATCACCCTTCTCACCATTCCAGCTTCTGGCAGCTCAGTGCCCTGACCTGCCCTCAGTGTCCCCAGGCAGAGCCAAAATGACCCTCAGCTGCTCTGCCACCAGACAACATGGCCTCTTCCTTGTCTGACTCTTTCATTGTTTGCAAACTGTCTTTTTGTTAGAAGGGAAGGAATGATTAGCATGGGTATTTTAATAAACTACAAAATGCTTTGTTCTCCCTTGTCCCTTTTCCTGCTCTCTCCAATCTCTGACACAGGTGTGTTACCCAGGACGCCGATGGTTGTCACCACAGAAGACACCCAGCAACACCCATTGCTCCTGCTGCTCCTCGGGGCCAAACCCAAGGGCAGGCTTCATGCCTCCCGGGGGTGGGGAAGGCCTGGCACTTGTGTCACCACCAAATGAGTCAGGTAGGTGGAACAGTAAAGTACTTAATCACATATGTCAGAATTGTTCTAGAAAAACATCTTTAGAAGTCTTGGTATGCAGTATGGGCACACAGCATTTATTGCCTTTGTGGTTTACCCTTGCCATGTGAAGTAGAGTGGTTGGTGCATTTGGGGTTTCCGTGGGCAAAATCGTGTGAATAGACCAGGTAGAGAAGAAAACGCATCCCAAGGTTTTCAGAGTGGCGCAGCTTGGAGGCTTAGCAGGTTCTATCTAGAACACTGGCCTGACTATCGTCACCAGTGTTTGGATTCAGGAGGCCATGAATGCCTGATCCTGGAATAAAGCCGAACGTGCCACCTGTGCCTGATCCAACAGAAGACTGGCACTCTGTGCAGATGCTTTTCCTTCTTGCCCCAGTGTCCACATTCCAGTTCAGACCTGGCTGTACTCTACAATGTTGGTCAGAGGAAGATCTCAGGAGAGATATTTTGGACCATGCCTGGACGTGGCACAGGAAAGGGGAGTTCTCATCTGTGAGAACCTGAGGGTAGAGACCACGCTTCTGTCAGTTTTGCTCCAGGAGTGTCTGTGCACATGGAGGCCCAGGACCCTTGTAAGTGCTTGTGAGCTCACAGCCTCTGCATGTCCCTTTTCTGGCACCCATTTTGTTTGTACCCCACATGAACTATGAGGTGGGAAGGGCAAGAATTAATGTGTCCTTTAAGGGACAAGCTCCCCAAGCCCTGATGAGCAGGAGGGATGTGCCAGCACTGGGAGCAGAATCACAGGCATAGGGGACTCCTGCCTCTCAGTCCAGCATCTTGCTTGGTATCTGCTCCTCAGCTGCTGCTTGGCATTGTCCCACCAGCACTTCCCACCAGAGCCCATCTAGAACTCTGAGCATAATGACTCCATGGGTGAACCTCAAACTGGGGCATCTTGGAGCAAGAAAAGATCAACGGATTGGACAACTTCTCTCTTTCCTAATTATGGACTCGAGAGCTGGGAAGAGCACATAATTTGCAGTAGTTTGAATGTGGGAAAGAATTGTTTTGAGAAGTTTTTTTTTTTTTTTTTTTTTTACAAATCCCAAACAGGTATTGTAATGCTTAGCCAGCAGCATTGATGTGATATCGGTATAATACCTGCTTTTAACATTGAGATATTCCAAGCCTGGAAGGTTAGATATATCTTGCTATATACTACTCTTTCTGACAGTCCCTGTGGGTTTTGGGACCACTTTTCAACCTTTCTCGGGAAAATAAAGGTTTCTTAGATTTTCTGATTCTCTGCCCAGCAAGCTTGTTGGAACCTAAGTCCTGAACAGCCTTTTTTTACTGAGGTAATTTTGTGCAACCTGGAGCTAAACAGTTGATCTGCATCACTTCACTTAATCCTCCTGTCAGCCCCTGACAGTTATTAGTTCCACATGGCAGGAAGGAAAATGTGTGCCCAGTGCTGACAGACCTTTGCTGGGGTCACCCAACCACCAGTAAATGGACCCAGGCCTGCTGGACTCTTAACACTCATGTTCAGGCAGTGAGTGGATGTGGTAGGCAAGCACACCTTACCTCTGGCACCCTGGCTTTAATGCTGCTCCTTTTTTTTTTTTAAGATTTATTTATTTATGCACACAAGAACTGGGGTACAGGCCCGAGCTGTGAGGGGTGAGAGGATTTACCAGAGACAGAGTGGGGAACAGAATAGGCAGATTGACTGAAGTACACTGCTGAGGGGAGCAGCAGGCAAGCCAGGAGAGGTGCACTGCGCCATGTGGATAGCTCCCTGGCTGGGGATCGAACATGTGCCACAGTAGCAGCGGACAGCTTTATAGGTTGTGTCTCAACCCCTTGCACCATCAGGGAGGCCCTAATGCCGCTTCTTGTTTGAGGGAGATATCAGCATTGTGAGCCAGAGCTGACTTTTAATTTGGTGGGGTGGGTCCTCAGAGCAGTGGTTTAGGAAACAAGGAACTTCTCAGAATCATTTTCAGTCCACTGATCTTAAAAAGAATGTGAGGTGTCCTGCTTGAGAGTGGCTCCTGGCCCACAGCCCCTCTAGTAAATGAAGTCTGCTTCCTTCAGGTGGAAACAGCTGGAGGAGGGGATGAAACTGAGAGGGGAGGTGATGCCAGATTGGGGAAAGGGGATGGAATACCCCTAAGCCTGATATTGGGGGAGAAGGATACAATGAAGAAGACAGTGTTGCTGATGGCTCATGATGTTTTATTAAACTGTAGGGTTAAGAATCTGGGTAAGGGGCCTCCCCGGTGGCGCAGCGGTTGAGCGCTGGGTTGCGAAGCTGCCTGCAACCTCTGCGGCACCGGTTCAATCCCCGGCTGCTTCCCAGCCACCGGAGGAGGGTCCCCACATGGCGCGCAGACCTCTCCTGCCGCCCGCTGCTCCCCTCAGCAGTGTACTTCGGTCCTTCTGCCTGCTCTGCTCCCCGCTCTGGTTCTGGTGAATTCTCTCACCCTCCCGCGCTTCTGACTGTACACAGTGCATGTATAAACAAACAAACAAACAAATAAATAAATAAAACATGCCTCTATTAAAAAAAAATATGAAAGAATCTGGGTAAAATACAGCAATTTCTTCCTTCAGGATTAAATTACTCCCTTTTGAAAGCTGCTCTGGAGCCTTGCTACCTATTCCTTTTGTTGTTGGCTTCCCTCAACCATACTGCTGGCCCTTTGCCATACTCACCAATTAGCTTTGGACCTGAAGACAGGCTCTGTGAGTTTAGTGGTGGCTTAGGAATAGGATTCCTTAGGCTGAAAAGGGAGCAGGGAAAAAGAGCAGCTGTCCAGGTGGCTTGGGGTGTGCTCTCAGATGGAGAGTTCGGTGCCAGGCCCGTGTTCCCCTAGGGAGGCCTGGTCACTCTTAGCATCAGATTTCAATGGGCTTGGCAGGTCAACAGCAGGAATGTGCAGGAGGGAGGAAATTCCATTTTACATGGCCAGTGTTTGCTCACGTCCGTCCTAGGCCTGACAACTCCATTAGTTTGCACTTGCAGATTTCATGAACTGTGGTTTGATTACCGTTGCTTGGGTCCAGATTACATGGAAACATTCTGAACCTCCTGTGGAATCCTTTATTGAATAATCATGACTGCTTTCTCAGGTATTTAATAGGGATGTTTCCATACCCACCCACCTCTTTTGCTTTATAACAATTACAGCACATAGCTGTGACATGTAAATCTGAAGAAAACTGAACCACATAAAGTAAATAATTTTATGAACAAATAAGTGCTCCTTGAGAAGCACAGGAAATCTAATGCAAATGGCATAATGGAAATTAAAGAATTTGCTACTGTTATCTAGGGCTCTGGAAAATACGAATTTCATGATGTGCCCAAAAACCTTACAGAGACATTGCCTGACAGCTCTCTGCCAATCTCTTCTTAGTCTTCCCTGCAGAGTTCTCACCAGTGTCTCTGAAGGAGCAGTTTCTGAAATACTGATTCACTGTGTAAAGCTTAAAATCAAGATGCAGTTACATAGCCCCTATTCTTAGTATTTGCATTAAGCCTCTAAACACAGGACTGGGGAAGACAAGTTTTAAGCAGTGGGCTTTCTCTGTGTGTTGACCTCTGAACCTTTACAATTATTGTGGTTAGTTATACAAATGAATATAGGGTCCGAGTTCAGCCTGACAGAAGATATATGAAATGGAAGTGAAATTAATTTCTGTACACATGGCCTTTTAGTGGAAATTGTGAGGCTTGGTCCACTTATGTAATGCAAATGTCAGACTCCTATAGATTTTGAATGTTGTTCCACAGATAGAGTCAGTGCCACAGGAGGAAGGTCATTGGATCTGTGAGCCACCTTGGAAACCTGAGCTCTCTACTGTTGTCCAGGGCAAGTAGCAGCTCGTACCAGGGAGAGGAGATATTTAGTCACCTGATAGACATTTATAGCGGTAGGGTGAGTTTGGGGTTTGGGCTTGGGGTTTTTTTTGGGGGGGGAACTGATAAATTCTTTCTGTTCATATACCAGCTGTTAGTTTGACAAGCCATACACAGGCTGTGGATGGGAGAAGCTGTGGCTTCATCTAGCTGGGTGGTCAGGAAGGACTATTGACCTCTTCCCTACCCAGATCCCTATTTGTAGTGCCAGAGGGAGGCATTTGCTCAGATAATGCCTTTTGTTGAAGGTCACATTTGGTCCTGTATTTTGTAAAAGAGACAGCATGTGACCCATTCCTGTCCCAGAACTGAGAATTTGAGTTGTCTGGAAGAGATTCAGTGTTTGAGGGTGACCTCCAAGCTCTCTACATTTGGGCTTCTCTGTCCTCATAGCTGATTTTCCCAGGTGATGTGACCAGTCAGCCCACTGGTTGGGAGCTTGGGAGACAGCCCCTGCCATAGTTTTGCCTGGTTTGGGCCAGAAAAACTAAGGGAGGATGTCCTCTTCAAAACTGCAGGTCGTAGCATGGTGTTAGAGAGGAGAACTAGTTTCATGTTCCCATGGATTTGCTCCTGATACCTTGCCAGATTTGCACAGATATTTAACAGGTGTCAAGCATTAGCATTTTCTTCTTTGAGAAAAAAAACTGTCAATCTTTTTATGTAGTCTCAGGGTAGGTAGTTCATTTTGCTCTGTTTTACATAGCAGCCAGAGTCACCATTTAGAATATAATCAGAATTCCAGTCCTAGCCAAGGGGGAGCCATAAATAATGAATTTCCTTTCCTCTCCTAAATATTTATGGTATTAGACAAAGTATATGAAGGAACAGTTTTCAGATATTAAATAATACTCAGTGGTCTGTGATACAGATGGAAGTATGTGAGGTAAGCCCCACAGTCATCTTGGCTTTGGGTCAGGAATTATCTCCATATTCAAGGCACAGGGAAGCAGAGGCATACAAAGAGTAAAGCAGAAGAAACAGAGATCAGAATTTGGGGTTACTGTAGCAGATGGGGCTTATGGGACAAGGTATTAGAGAGGAGGGCTTTGGGCAGAGGAGGGACTTCAGAAATCTTCAAAGCAGTCCCCTAGACCTTATCTAATACTATGGACAAAGCTGAGAGCTGGCAGAGAACAGCTAGTAGGGAGTGGTAGAGAGCTGAACAGATCTAACCTGCCAGAGTGAGAAGACCTTAGTGAAAACATTGAGCATTCACTGAGGCCACAGAAAGGCTACAGCTTATGAGTAGGGTTGCTCTAACCTAGAGTAAGGTGCATACCAAAACCTAAGAACAAGTCTCCTTAGGATAAATATGAGATACTAATCAACTACTGGACAGATAAAATACAGCACTATTTAAAAAAAACCCTGCAATATCTAGCATACAATAAAAAATCACTAGACATTCAGGGCAAAGAGGAAAATGCCATTTGTTACAAACTTACATAGACATAATGAACAGATAGGAATTTCAGCAGAGAAAGGGAAATGTAAGAAACAATGGGAAAAAAAATTCTAGAATTTAAAAATATAGTATATGAAATGAAAAATTCAATGATGAGCCTGAAAGCAGTTTAGGCACTCTAGAAGAAAATATCGGAGAACTCGAAGTCAGTGAAGACACCATTCTCACTGAGGCCCAGTGTAAATAAAACACTGAAAAATGAACAGAGCCTCAAAGATATGTGAAAGAGATTAAGTAGTGTAATTGTGTAATTGGAGTTCTAGATGAAGAGAGACTGGAACAGAAAAATATTTGAGGAAATTCTCCAAATCTGATAAAAAAAAATCTCAACTTATAGATTCCAGAATTTCAAGGAGGTCCAATCAGAGTTAACTCTTAAGGAAGACCACATCTAAGCACAACTTTTTGAAAACAAAAGATAAAAATAAAATATTAAAGCAATCATAGGAAAGAAGATATAGTATATATGGGAACAAAAATAAGGATATGGTTGATATCAACAAAGAATGCCAACCACAAGACAGTGGGACAGTATCTCTATATTTATTTAAAGTTCTGAAAAAAAAATCTTTGTAAAATAGATATGAAACATACATTTTCAGATTGACAGGTGAGAGAAATTGCTCCCTGCAAACCTGCAGTAATAAGAATCATTAAAGAAACTCCTCAGCCTGATGGGAGATGCCTTGAAATATAATGTGGATCCATGAGAAAGAATGAAAAATGCCAAAAATGGGAAGTAATGCATAAATATATAAGAATTTGTTATTTCTTCAAGGAAAAATAATAGCAGATTTTGTGGCATTCCCAATATATGTAAAAATAAAATGTATGACCAAGGAAAAAAGGAAGTTAGTGAAAGAATACAGACAAGCGGGCCTCCCTTGGTGGCGCAGGTGGTTGAGCACAGCACAGTGAAGCTGTGTGCAGCCTCTGCAGCGCAGGTTAGATCCCGGCCCACTGGCTGGCGAGATACCCATATGGCATGGCAGACCTCTCCTGTCTTGCCCGCTGCTCCGCTCAGCAGTGTATTTCAGTCAGTCTGCCTGTTCTATTCTCCACTCTGTCTCTGGTGAATCCTCTCACCCTTGCGCATATCTGGCCTGTACCCCGGTTCTTATATGCATGAATAAATAAATCTTTAAAAAAAAAGAATACAGACAAGCATTAGAAAAATCAATGAAAATGAAACTTGATTCTTTAAAAAGATGAATAAAATCAGAAAAACTTTAAGGAATTAATAGAAAAAAAAAACCAGGAATCAATTGTAAAAGGATAGGAAACCAAATTGCCAGTATCAGGAATGAAGGATGACCTATTACTGTACATCTTACAGACATTAAAAGGATAGTAATTGGCTATTAAGAACAAATCCATGTCAATAAGTTCAATAAATTAAGTAAAATGGACAATTTCCTTGAAAGACACAAAGTGCCAGAACTGACATAAGAATATATGAATAGTCCTACATTTGAATTTTTTTTTATTTTTTTAAAAAAAGAAATTTTGTTGTTAAAAACTTTCCCACAGAGAAAACGCCAGCCCAAACAGCTACACTGGTGAATTTTAGAAAATACTGAAGGAAGAGATGGTATTAATTGTACTCCAACTCTTTTGTAGAAGAGGAAAAAAGAAAAATTTTTCAAATAATTTTACGAGGCCAGCTTAACCCTTTTTTAAAAAGGGAAAGAAACTACCTATCAAAATTCCTCATCAACATGGGAATACAGCAATAAACCAACAAAATACTAGGCATATTGAATATAGCAATATATAAAAAGGTCAAAATCTCATGACCAAGTGGGTTTATTCTAGAAATGCAACATGTGAACCTCAATGACTATAATTTATTACACAAATTGAATAAAAAAGAAAAAAAAATATATGATCTGTTCAGTAGATACAGGAGAAAGCATTTGCTAAAACTCACAGCCTATTTATGATTAAAAACCATCAGGAAACTCATAATAAAAGGAAAATTGCACAGTCTGTTAAAGGATATCTCCCGAAACCCACAGTGAAAATCATTCTCAACTGTGAAACTGATTGTTTTCCCTCTTGCTCAGGAACAAGGCAAGGAAGTCTGCTTTCACCATTCTGTACTCTGTACAAGAAGTCCCTGTCAGTGCAGTGAGGCAACAGAAAGAGATATAAGGCATAAAGATTGAAAAGGAATGAATGAGTTAAAATGTAAGTCACCTTGTGCCAGCCCTCAGGATGGTCTGATGGCATCTTACTTCACTCAGAATAAATTCAAAGTCTTGTCCATGTGCTACGAACGCCTTCTTTCCCTGGCACATCTCTAATCTCTCTGATTTCCCCCTGGCTCCCTCTGCTGTTTTGGTGGCCCTTGAGTTTGCTCTTCCCTGTGCCTGCATTCTTCCCCAACATAGCCCTTTGGCTTCCTCCCTCACTTCACTCATGTCTCTCCTCAACAGTTACCTTCTCAGAGAAGGCCTTCCCCATCTTACGTGAAATAGCACCTCCCTAGCTTGGGGTTTTGAAGCCTTCACCACCACCTGGCATGCTGTTTATTATCTCTCTCCCTCCTTAAAACATGAAAACTTGGATTTTGTCTTTTGTGGTTATTCACTGCTGAATCTGCAGTGCCTAGTACAGTGTCTGGGACTTAGTGGCAGTCAGTCAGTATTTCATGAATGAGGGGGAAAATGCAGTATTGATAGGGATAAGACCTGAGGTGAAATACTGAAAGTACTTGGTGTGGTAGGCTCTTGAGTTTGCATCTATCTTCTTTAAAAGCCTATGTAATTTTACAGTGAAAGAAATTTTCAATTAAAAGTTGTGAGGTTTAGCCTATTTCTAAAGCTGAATAGGGTGCATCTATAGGACCCCTGTTACTTGCATGACATGTCATCATTTGTGAAGTGGTTTCCTGGATATTGCCACATTGGTTCTGCACAGGACCTGGGGATAGCATAGTGAGCCAGAGAGATTCAGCTACTTTCTTGGGGCTGCACAGATGAGCCAAAGTCAGGAGTCATGGATTTCAATCCCATGTTCCTTTCCAACTGCATCCCATAGTGGGAAATAGACCCCACAGCAGAGCTTTGGCATGGTCATTTGTGGGTCAAGACAACTCCTTGGGTCTTATCTTCATGAGTTTAAATGTTCTGATATCTATTTTGTGTCAGGAGCTAGGCAGCAGGTAGAGAAAAATAGTTTCAAGACTTTTGAGGGCTGTTTTGGAGGTAGAACCTGTGAGAACAGAGGATGGGACTAGTGTGGCATTGGTCAGACTTCTACTGTCTCAGGAGGCACAGGAAGGGCCTGGGGTTGAGTGAGGCCACAGGCCCAGTCCCTAAAGGGCTCGGAATATGGGTTGGCTTCAGCTACAAGGAAGGAGGTCAAGAAGAGTCTTGGGATGTAAGTGATTATGCTGTCATATGCCACTTTGAGCTATTTGGGGTTCAATGGAGAGGGGAGAAAAGGTGGCTTTTTTTTTCTCTCTAGTTATCTGTGTCAGTGCACACTCGTGGGTCCATTTCCACGAAAGCCTGGGCATTCATGTGCAATTTCTCACTGGATCCTAAAAACAGACCAGAAAAATGTCTTCCCATCCTCACAGACAAAGAAACAGGGAATGATCTTGTGGATATCCCCCAGTCTTTCCCACATTTTGCAGCACATCTGGAACCTGGGCCCACATCTTAAAGCTCCAAGTCTAGTGCTCTCAGGAGGGAGGTAAGGGGTAGTCTTTTGTGTGGAGAGCAGATTGCCATAGGAAGGGGCTGGGGCAGAGAGCTTTGTATGGTGACTATAAAACCATAATGATCACAGTGGGGAGGTTTCCTGTAAGAAAGGATGAATGAGGCTGGGCTCAAGTAAGGAAAGGGATTAAAAATGAACTTGTGAGGGCATGTGTAAGAAGTGGGCACCTCCATTTCTACTCTTTTGCAATCGGTATCTGCTTTCCTAATGGCCCCACTTACCTCCCGGGCGATTATTTTACCTCTTTCTCTTGGTTTTAAGGATCTTCACACGGTTACTGACTGGTGCTTAGAGTACCGTTGACAGCAGGGATGAGAGCAGCTCTGGGGTGTCTTACCTGGGGCTGAGTGCTCTGTTCACAGGTGTCATCCTGAGTGCCAGAGATCAGTCAAGGCAGCACCACCTGGACCTGGTTTGCAGACTAGAAGGCAGGATTTGTGAAGCAGCGTCACTTCCTAATTGCAAGAACACATTCCTGCATGTGAGTATGTGTTTGGGTGGGGCAGGAAACTTAAAACCTCCCCCCCTCCTGGGGACCACCCTGCTACATTTGTAGTTGTTTGAAAAGAATGATTTTTTCCTCCTAACTTAGTGATGCATCAGAAATAAAAATTAATATGAAGATCAATTCAAAGAGGAATTATAGGGTGAGAATGTTAAGAATGCTCAGCTCATTTTCAGAGCTTGGGGTTAATCAGAACACAAATGTTTTTATCATTGGTATAGTGTTACTTTAGGGGAAAAAACCTCTTCCTTGGTTGAACTGTTTGTGTTACAGGGCAGGGAGAGGGGCATCCCAGACCCTGCAAACCTGCCTGCTCTAAATAGGTTCTGCCATCAGCCGCATCAACACAAACATATTAGACTTTAATAAAAAAGAAACTTTAGTACAATTAGTGAACAATACAGGAAAGGCAAAGAATATAGTTTCTAAATCAAGCACCCAAAGTTACCCGTCCCCTCGTGGGTAAAAGTCCACCCAAACAGGATTGGCCAAGAGGAAGGCCCGAAAACCTGCCACAGGTCTAAAGCACCTTCCAGTGGGGACCCACAGAAAAGGGTCAGAAACAACCAGATAAGTCTGGGAGGAAAAGAGCAAAATCAAAATCAAGACAAAAGTTGCCATTCTTATCCTCCCCACGGGCCCCTCACCCACATCCGTTTCACCCAGTCCACGACCCAAAGGCAAGCACAGTTTCTTCACATGTCTCTCAGCAACATGTGCCACCTCCAGGTCTCCATCTGGCTCTCCATCCTGCTTCCTTCCTTCCTCAGTCCCTTCTGCAGCTGCTGTTTCTCCATGCTCAGCTCCACTCTCCTTTGGGTGGGGCAGAAAACTTAAAACCTCACCCCTCTTGGGGACCACCCTGCTACATTTGTAGTTGTTTGAAACTTCTCTTTGATCCGTGTGCCTGCTGAGACATGACTTCATCCCACAGGTGGAGTTACTGAGCAGAAGGAAGCATGGCACCCTCTCCTATAGACTCCAGTGAGAAATTATAAGAGAATCCTTTAATTTTCTCTAGTTGAGGGTTTTTTTTTAAGTAGGAGAAAAACAAAATCAGGAAATTTTATTAAGTGACGTGTCAGGTTTAGGAAAGCTGCCCCTCCATCGACTGATGATGGTGGCTGTGACTGGGAGCTGTGTGTCTGCGCAGCACAGGGAAGCTGGGGTGCGGCTGAGTGGCTTCTGCCTCCCTGTGCTGGCCCCCAGTCTGCAGGAAGCTCTTCCTCCTCTGCATTGTGGAGACTGGGTTTCCCTAGGGGAAGAGGCTATGATCCCTCCAACAGGCTCCTCTCTCAAAGAACATGTAATATGGGAGGAGTGTGCCAGTGCATCTCTAGAGGTATACCCCAATAGGAAGAGTTTGTCATCACAGGATGCCAAGCTTTCAAGGGGAGACAGTGAGAAAAGTCCTTGTGGATGCCAGGACATTTTTCAGTGCATTTTCTAAATAGGTAGATCTGGTAAGCTAGGGGCTTTTTTGCTGGTGTTGGAGTTCAGACATGAGGTTCTGACAGGATGTAGCCTCTGGATCAAGAGATGACTATTGAGCCAGAAATACTAAACCCATAAGTCAGGGGGTGACTTGGAGTCCAGAGTTCAGGGGGGCCAGCATACAGAGTCCCTGGAACTGACCATCTCAGAGTACCGTGAAGAGAACCCTATGTGGTACAGGAACCTTGGTGCTACAGACTTTGCCTCTGACTCAGGGATCATCAGGCCTGGAGGTAACCAGGGATAGCCATCCCTTAGTTTTTTCAAAGCAGCCCTGAAAGCCCAAACTCTGGTTTGCAAATTTAGGGTGGTTGCTCTCTGCTCTTAAGACTAGAATGGCTGTGCCTCTGCTCTTAAGACTAGAATGGCTTTCCCCTCACACGCACACCCACACCCACACCCTTGGGCCATTTGATCTTCTCAAGGTAAGCTAGACCTAGAGTCTCAGTGTCTTGGGGAAGGGATGCTCTTTCTGGCTGCAGGGAAGGGGCCGGCACTCTCCTCCTTGTCCTTCCTGGGCCTGATCATCCTCCCTGCAAGGCACATCCGGCCTTGAGCCCCACACTGCTTTTTCTCTCCTGGTGCCTGCAGACCCCTTTGAAAAGCCAAGGTGAGGCAACTCCAGAGGACTTAGTGCTGGGTGGCTTTCTGTGGTCTGGCTCTGGCCTAAGGATACCAGGACACGCCTCACATGACCCTCCCTCCAGCTCATCCCTTGCCCTTCAGTCAGGTAAGACTTTCCAAACACAGATATCCCCAGTCTCAGCCTCAGGACTCAGGGTCTCATCATCCGGCTTATACTAACTTTTCAATCTTTTCCTCTCATTTCCTTCTTAGCCACATTTTTCCTCCAGTCTGATTGGGCCATCTGTCTGTTGGTCCACATAGTCCCATGGCTCACTCCTTGTTTGTCCTTTACCACCACTGCACCATGCTCAGGCACTCCCCCCCATTTGTAGTGCCACCGTATACTCCATTATTTCATCTGGACATACTCTACCTGTCTTTCAGAGTTTGCCAGCAATCTCAGTTTCAAAATACCCCCCCAGGTGTTCCAAATGTAATCTCAGCCACTGGACTGTCCATTTGGCACCTGTTCAAATTCTGCCTCAAGGTCACTTTTTCTGTCTTGTATGAAAGACTCATTCATTATGTCTGTCTCTCCTATGAAACTACAAGTTTGTATGCATTCTCTTGTATATTTGTCATGCTTAGGTGCTTTTTAAATATTTTTTAATTTTGAAAGAAAAGACTGATACCTGAGGTTAAGATGCCCTGTCTTACCCCTTTATGTTGCCCAGAGTCATGCTGGACCCTCAGCCACTTCTTGTCCATGGACACACAGGCTCTGTGAGGAAGAAGCTGTGTGAAATTTTGCAAGGATTGGCATCTGGGTTGACAGGATTGACTCATGTGGCAGCAAATGAATTTGATATTCCCTGACTCCACTCTGCCTAGAGGACATATATACCTATTTTATACTCCATTCCTTCTTACGTTCGACATTTTTCTGGCCTCTTGGCTGCTTGATCTGGCATAGGGCTTTTCCAGTCCCCACAAAGTGTGGGATTATGACTTTTCTATGGATTTTGGCTCCTGTCATCTTCCTTTTGGGAAATAAGGACCCTTGTGGGCAGAAATTGGTACATTCTTCCATTTAAGGGGGAAAAAGGTTGTCTTGAGTGAAATAGGCTTTTGTTGTCCTAGGCAGAAGAACAGTTTTGCCCTCATGCTCTTTAAGCTCAGTGGAGGCATTTCTGTAGCATTTGGTACTTACAGTCACAGTGATGAGATGAGAGGTCTTCCTTCTACACATGCATAAAGGCTCCATGTGCTGCTGGGGTGAAGGAGACAACAGGAGGGAGTGAGGACCTGTTTGGCTCTGCTGAGCTCTGGACAACATGGAAGTTGCAGGCAGGTGCTGGCCTGGGCAGATGAGGCCCAGCCCCGGGAGCACAGGCTCTCAACCCTCAGCCCATCTGAACCAGGTTGCTGTGCCCTGGCCCTGAGGACACTCACCTTGGCTCTCCTTAGGTGGGAGAGCTGCTTGCCAATTCTAGCCTTCCCTTTTGTAAGCTTTGTCACATTTATCATCTAAGCCTCAAAGTGGCACTCATCATGTGACATCATGCTTTGATGCTTTTATTGTGAGCATGTCTTCTCTTCTTATGATCTTAGGAAAGTGAAGATTCTATTCCCAAATCTGTTGGAGTTCTCCCACTCCTGCATTGCTTAACCAAGTTGAATTGCACTTGGCTTTTTAAATGAGTATTGATGGTTAACTGTTTCTTCTTTTTCTAATGTGAAATAAAGCAATGAAACTAAAAATAATAATAATAATACTCTACATCCAGCCGAGTAATCAGTAGAGAATTTGCCTTTGGCTGACCCTGTTGTCTTTGTGTCTTGATCTTTATAGTAGCTAAATTCTGGCACAATCAGTTTTTGATTAGTGAGTGAAGTCACTGTTTGGAGTCATATGTGACAAACTGTAAATCCCATATCAACCTCGCCATTTGCTCAGCAGGTAGTGAGGCTCCTTGACCTACCCCACTGATGATGAAGACTTGGGGAAGACTGTGATTTTAATGGAACCCGACAAAGCTATACGCCTTGGGGATCATCTGGAATCCTCTCCCTTGAGGGGTAGGGATGCACCACCTCTCTGTTCCTGGTACCATGCTGTGCAGGCTCTTGATAATGTTTGCTGAATAAATTGCCAAATGAGTGTGCCAGCCAGAGTTGCCTTGTACCTCATAATTCTACACACAGCTGAACCTGTGATTGATCAGCCCTCCTCTCTTATTTTTATGAGAATTTAAGGAAAACAACTAAAACTTGATTCTCTCCCCCAAGTTAGGTTTGTAAAGAATTAAAGGTTAATTTTAATTTTTTCATTGGGTTACATGGGGTATCCCAACTTTAGGAGTTAAAAATAACCAGGAAAAGCTATCATAAAACCTTTAGAACTTTAGTGATTTCCTAGTCTTTTCAGCAGAAGTCACTGATTTTCTGTGTACTTCACATTATGAATTTGACTTGCTGTTATTAGGACACCTGTGATGGAGAGATGATTTCTTTGGCAACCATGGAAGAAAAAAAAAAGTGAAAAAAGGAACTAAACAAATATACTTTTGCAATGCCGTCAGTGCTTTTGTGTTTAATACCAGAAGGCTGAAAGGAACAAACTAGTGATACACGCAACAGCTTGGATGAATCTCAAAAGCATCATGCTTCGTCAAAGAAGCCAGTCTCAAAACGTTACATGCTGTACGATTCCATTTTTGTGACATTCTCGATAAGACACAACTGCAGTGATGGAGAACAGATGAGTGTTTGCCAGTTGTTGGAGACTGGGAGAATGTGACTATAAGGGAGCAGCATGGGGGAGGGCTTTGAGGTTGAGAGAACAGTTCTGTATCCTAGCTGTGATGGTGGCTATGTGAATCTGTATGTGTCAATATTCATGGAACTGTGCACCAAAAGCAAGTCAAATGTACTGTGTGGTGTCTTAAAAATAAAGTACCAGGAGGGTGAGAAGTGCCTAAATTGTATATTCATTGACAACAGGCTCAGTTGGTAATTCCTGTCCCAGAATGAACAACCTCTGTGCTAAGAGGTTTAGAAAGATCCCCCTACCCATGGCCACTTCTGTCTCCTGAGTGTCATTCTTCTGACAGTTGTCAGGATGTCCTCAAGGTCACCATCTGATTTTTTTGTTGTATAACAGTTTGGGAAGTTTGCATCTTTGTTATAGACCTGCCCCTTAGGATATAATAGGGTACAGGTTAGGATGAATTTTGGGGGGTACTCTGAGGAATTCCTTTTATACATGTTTATATGAATGTTTACGTGAGTATAGGTTCATATCAACTGGATATGTTTAGAATAGTTATTCCTTTTCAGTTGTTTATTCCTTTGAAATAGCTTCACTGAAGCCACGCACATGTCCATAACTATGAACCATCTTTATTTCTCTCTCCAGGAAAACCGAGTCTTTCAAGTCTTCTCAGCCTTTCCTGAGGCACCATGTCATGCATATTGTCTCCTATGTAGCCTCAAATTGTCCATTCCTCCCCATCCTGTGCCACCACTCCAGTCCTTCTCTACCCCCAACACTGCCTTGCAACCTAGGGGGTCTTTCTGAAACTCAAATCCAACCATATAATTACCTTGTGAAAATCTTGTCATTCTCTCATTACCTTTAGAATGGTGTCCAAAATCCTTAACATGGCTTAATAATCTTGGGTCACCCAGATTCTTCTGCTCATTTCCTTAGCATAGTTCTCTTACCCACCCTACTCTGACACTCACACTTCTTACAGGATGTTGAACAAGTTATTTTTTCCTCCTGCCTTTGGGTTTTGTAGAATGCTGGTCCCTATGCTTGAACTTTGCCCACCCCCTCCCCCCACCTGCAACCATACGCATCATTTGTCTGGCAAAATTTTCTCTTCTTTGTCTATCCTCAGCCTAGCTTTCACTTCTGGGTGAGCATCCCTCACTCCTGGCCTCAGAGTCACCTAGCCTTCTAGCCTTGCACCTATCACACTGTGTCATAACTGCTGCCAGGTATTCTCTGTGTTGTCACTGTTGAGTTTTTGGCATTGGCACAACCCTATAGCTAGAGGTGGTAAGGAAAGATTTTATGATGAATGGGCAGAGTCATCTGTAAAAGCCTCAGAGCCTGCTACCAACAGAAATCTGATGGCATCGAGGCACCAGTCCCTGCCTTCTAAATGGCTTGTATCTGGTCAGAGAATTAATAACTGTTGAAATACTTGAATGACAATTGTGTTAAACCATGAAACATGGACTCCAAATGCTGATGAGGGCGAGCATGCAAGCTGAAGGAGTGGAGGTTATTAGTGAAAGTTTCCTAGAACTCCTCTTCCCAAATAATTTCTCTGCCTGTTTTCTCATAGGATATAGATTTACCTCGCTACTTTCTCCCATTTTACAAATTGCTGTGCACTCACTAAAGCTGAGCACAAAGGGCCTACCACATTCCCTTTGTGGGTGACTGTAGGTAGGCCTGAGGCTTTCTGTCACAACTTGGTCAGTCACTCCTATTGCTATTTTGTGGGGCCACTCTGCCAGTCTCCTTCAGACTGCTTTTATGTGGTGTGGTTGTGTTGCTTTTCCGCTCTATGAATTTTAAAACACTTCCTAGTTTGAATTCTAGTTCTCCTGCAGCCAAATAGTTTATAGAGAGATTTGATAGTGAAAGGTGTTCACTCCCTCCCGCATCTTCCTTTCCCTATACCTAAAAAGATGGCTTTCCACTTGGAAAACAATGTGTTGAATCACAGTTTGAGCACTGCTGATGGAGTCTCTAATGGATTCTAAAAGAATCCCTGTTGAGTGGCTTGCCCCAGAGCTGCTGCTGGCATCCTGACCCAGTGCCATTTGTCAGGGATTCTGTTCTGCCGTTAGGTCTCTAGCTCATGTGCTCTGGCTCTCCGCCCAGTTGACTATGGGCAGCTGGGCTGGGTCAGCTGCTGCTTGGGGGTGGGGGGCAATCGCTGCTGGACCCCTGAGCAGGGGAGGGCCTTATGCATAGGCTGGGTTCTGTCAACTCAGGTTGTGTCCAGTGCTGAGCTGGGACAGGAAGTTTTACCTTGTGTCTGCTTGCATTCATTAAAACTGCCACACCCACCCAGGCGGAAGTGCCATGGAGTGGACAGGCTCTCCCAGTTTCACACTTCTGTCAGGGCCAAGGGTACCTGCTCATTCTTCTTTGAAGCCTTGTCTGACTTCCTGACTAAAAACAAACCTCCAAGAATTGGATCGCCTCATGGCCTTGGTATCACCCTTGATTTTTTCCTGCTCCTCACTCACCAGCCAGTTTTGCATATGGACTGACCTTCTGGGTCCCTGCTTCTTCACCTCTTAAATGAATGGCTTGGATGAGGTGGTTGCTGTGAGTCTCCCTAGAAGTCTGACATAATAAAGTTCTTGTTCTCTAAGTTAGGAGTTCAGGGATGGAAAACTGGGGATCAGATGACTGACTAATAGCTGCTTTCCTCCCTCCTTGAATCCCTATGAAATTATCAACAGTGAGGTAAAAAGAAGGAAGTCATTATGCTCTTAGCAGACCAGAAATGCAGAGGAGTCCCTAGGAGGTAAAAACAAAAAAGCAGAGAAGAGGATGCTATAGCCCAGGTCCCTAGAGTGACATGTGAGTCTCTCTTGGGAGCTCTGGAGTCTCTCCAAGGTCCATGTGGTGAACAGTACTTAGACAAGTCCCCTCCAACATATACTGCAGAGTAGCCCAGGGTGCATCTTATCTGCAGGATGAAACCTTGAGAGCATTTTCTGGAGAATGTGGGCAGTGTCCTGGGTAAGGCTCCTGGCGGTGCTTTTGGGTCTGAGAGTCATTTCATAGCCTGAGGTGGCACCAGACCTCTGAACAGACCTGGAGGAAAGCAAAACAAGGGACATAATGCTGCCTGGCAGTAACAGACATCACACACTTTGTCCCCAGAACAGAGCTGCCTTATTTTGGCAGTTATGAGGGAGTCCCAGACTGCTAGCCTGTTGGCATGTCCCACCTACCTAACCAGAGCCATGGCCAGCTTTCCATTCAAAGCAGAGCCTGGAGGAAATGCATAGTGCCATAGCCTCAGAATTGTAAGGGAATGGAAAATATTGTTAAAATTTCTGGAGAGAAAAAGCAGGTTGTCCAAAAGAACAGAATCAAACTGGAGGCTGACATCTCTTCAGCACCACTTGAAGCTAAGTTCTGGCAAGTTCTCGGAGAGGTGATCTCCAATCTAAAATGCTACTCCCTGCTAAATTACTGCTCTAGTGTAAGAGCAAATAAATATATTTTTGAGCCTGAAGGAGCTCAGAAATTCATCTTGACATCCCATGTGGGAAAAAATAATCCACATACAGAGTCCCTCCATATAAGCAAAAAAAAAAAATCCAAGATTGCATGGTGTAGAAGAAACAGTGGTAGCTGATGATCCAGAAGTGAAGAAAGCTGGACGAAAATGGAAATTCTTTAATAGACCATTGCTTTTTTTTTTTTTAAAGATTTAGTTTTTATTTATACAAGAACTAGGGTATAGGCCAGATGTGTGGGAGGGTGAGAGGATTCACCAGAGACAGAGCTGGGAGCAGAACAGGCAGACTGACGAAATACACTGCTGAGGGGAGCAGCGGGCGAGACAGGAGAGGTCTGCAGCGCCATGTGGGTTGCTTGGCGGCTGGCCGGGATGGAACCAGCACTACAGAGGCTGTGGACAGCTTCACAGCTGCTGTGCTTAACCGCCTGCACCACCAGGGAGGCCCCCTAGACCATGCCTTTTGACACATTGTAATATCTTCCTTTCTGGTGGGCTAGCTATCTTCCTTCTGGTGGGCATATCAATTTTGCTTCATATATATTTTTGCACTGTGTTATTATAAGCATATATATGTACAATTTTAAATCTTGATTGATTTTCCAAATTATCATCATATAATTTCTCACTCTGTCACTAGTGGTTTTTGTCAAACTCTTTTAAATCTGGTATTAGTATAGCCACTCCAGCTTTATTTTGGTTACTATTTGCCTGGTATATATCCTTTTTCTATCATTTTACTTTCAGCCTATCTGTATCTTTGAATTAAAAGTTTGTCTCTTGTGGACAGCATTT